TGGCTATTTAGTCTTGCAGCACTTGAGTGAATAAAATGAACAAAGTATGAATACATAGAGTTCAAACACACAGACATACAAATACCAAACATATCTCTCCATGTGTCTTGAAACTCTTAGCCATGCATGCTAAGAATCCTTCTTATGTACTGACACTATAAACACAAGTAGATTATGAACTGACACACACCACACTTCTTTGTAGACACTACTTCCATTGTCCTGGAAGTTGTACCACCATTCAGTCCTCAATCTTTGTTCAACTAAGCATCTCTAAGCAATGATTTATGCCATCCTAGGCATAACTTGGACTATCCTAGGTAATTCTGTAGGCCATTTATATAACAAGTGTACTTGCAGCCCTAATGTGTTAATTTATGGAATAAGTGCTCTACATGGCCTCCGAAGCCCAGAAATGGATTAAACACAATCCACAGTTCATAAAACACATTTCATTTCAGTATTGGCCTACATATTTTGTGCAGTCACATTTGGTGGTATGAAGACTTATCACAACCTTAGGTTCTTTTACCTACTCTTAAATAACTTCTACCCAAGCAAGGTTGAGACATGGTAAAAAGATGAAGACAATTCAAAAGTTAGCAGCAGTTTTAATGGCATAATAGAGAGCACCTTACTCCTCTAGTCTAAAGAGAGATAGTTTTAAAAAGAGGGAGAGCAATCTCAGAGAACCCTTAGTTTTTTAGGATGGATTAGATGGTTATTAACATCACTTACAAAAGTGTCTTGAACTTAATGGAGCTTATGTTGAGAGAGCATATTTATTTTTTTATGTTCTCTTATAGTTCCATTTGCCATGAACATTGTGATGTCTCCAACTCTTGTAGAATTTGCTGATTTTTCACCTTCAATTATGTCTACATTTGCTTATTTCTAGGCAAGGTGGTTTACTGAGATATTTCCATAGTTGTTCCTTCTGATAAACTGATACATTCATCAACATAAAATAACCTTTCTGGTTTCTTACAACCATTTCTGACTTAAAGTCTGTTATATCTGAAATTAGAACAGCTGCCTCAACTGTTCCAAGAACATTCAGGATAGTTTCCAGTTATTTTATCAGTTCTTACCAGACACATAATGTAAGACGCAACTTAACACAAGACTCTAGTGTGATTTGATACTACATAAACTCCAAAAGCAGCAGCAGGGAGGGTGCACCAAGGGTGGTCGCCAGTGGCCAGGCCATGCTGAGTGGCAGATGGCATGCTTACCTCAGTGCTGTGGGTGTCTGGGGTGCCTGCAGGAGACAAGGTCACGGCCCCCAGCGGATCAGAGCGAAAGGGCAGGGCAGATGCCCAGCATTTTTCCACACAACCCTGCTGGAGTTTCTGATTGCCCCCTCTCCAAGAAGCCACTCGGATGAAGCATTAATCGATGACATGAGTAATGAAATGCTGAGAAAAGCCTATCCCACTACTGACAGGATTCCTAACATCATGCCACAGGCAGCAAGGACAACCCAAAAAATAAAAAAAAAAAAAACAGAGCAGCAATAGATTATACTTTTTAAAAAACACACCTACATTTTCTCAATACCATATTCCTTTTGAAACAAGGTGACAGGTAATGTTCAAGAGAATGTTTCTGTCTCTTCTTATGCTGATAGTCCTTATTCCACTGATTTCTCCAGCTGGACTTAGGGGAAGAAAATGTCCCACAGGGTATCCCAGTACCACCAGCCTCTGCTTCTACAGTTTGTTCCTGCCATGTCCCATAACAGGCTATGTGTTCTTGCACCTTTAGACTTGGATGGCATTAAACTCTTCAGGCCTAGCTAAGGCAACCAGAGTCAAGGTGGTATACAAATTCATGACATGTTGGGCATTCATCTCTGAAAGTTCTACTTGGTAGAAATACTGGAGATCACTAATTGAGAAAACCAATTATCATGTTCATCTTGATGCAATGAGAAGAACACAATGCAATTTCTCTGACACTGTGGTTAAAAATAAAAAAATATAACCTGAATCCAATCTCTATCTATCAAAGCAATCTGAAGAACATTTTACAAAATTCTATGAAATAATGACTTCACTTTCAAAGCAGTCATGGTCATGAAAAACAAAGGTTGAGAAACCATTCTGTTCAGTACTTAAAGAAACATGTTTTCTAGGAAAGCAAACAAAGCAACTAAGTATACGCAATGTCTAGGTAAACAGAACCCATAATATTTCATGATAATTAAAATTTTAATAGCCTGAAGAAAGAACCACCCCATGGAGAGCTATGCCACTTTCAAAGAGGAAGAATTAACTTGAAAAACATGCCAATTTTCCCAAAATTGACTTCGGGAATCAGCGTAGTTTAAGTCAGCGGCCACGTACCTTCCTGGACCTCCATTCTTGACACATGTGCAAGGGAAGGTGTCAAGGCAGACGACAACGCAGGAGCTGGCCACTGGACAAGGAGCAGCCATTCACACCTGGAGCTGCTGTGCTTCCCAGAGCTCCACCCTAGACCGAGAAAAGCCCCACCTGTGGAACGGGCCTCCCTCTCCAGTCTTGCCCTCTGAGCCCCAGAGCTCAACCCCAGGCCCTGACCCCCACCACACAGACGTGGTCAGCCCGCACCCACGGGCCAGGTGCTGCTCACACGCAGGCTCCCGCTCAGTGCCCAGGGAGTGAAATGGGTCGGCATCACGGCCCAGGCCTAGCGTTCTCAGCTCACCACAGTATTGCCTGGAAGCCCCCCCCCCCCCCTCCCAGTCCTCCTCTGAAGCAGGCCAAGCCCATTCCTCTACTCAGGAACAAACCAGAAGACCTCTGCTGGGGGCTGTAGGAACTTGTAGAGACCACCTCAGGCCAGAACTCTGCCAAGAGACTGCCATCTGGGACCTCCCACACCAGACCGGAAACAGAAGCTCTGTGTGCCTACTCACTTTAGCCAGAAGCGGAAATGCAGGGCAGCCCTCCCAGTGCCGGAAATGCAACCGCCATGCATGCATTTCACCTGCCACCAGGGGTCCAGTGGGTGAGCAGCAGATGGGAGGCAGGGCCACTGCTTGCTTGTGACTGACCCTCGTGGGGCCCTTTCTTCCCCCACACCCACAACGCAGACATGTTTTGATTGTTGACCAGCTGTGGGAAGCTGCGCAGGACAGCTCCTGGCTTCCACAAAGAAGAATTATCAGTAGATCCACGTTGGGAAAGACTGCAGAGGGGGCCGGTAAGTCTCCGACATTCTGAATAAAGTGAAATGGTTCAGAAGTCAACAGAAACAAGACTGTGTTTATGGGGTCTAGGGTCACCGTGAAGTGAAATGCGCACAGTGTTAAGTCACTTTTTCCTATTTTAGGGAGTAGATGACTGGACAAGAAACAGGTGAATCCAGATTCCTACTACCCTTTAATAAATCCTCTTTAATAGGGGCGTGGTGTGTGAGGGACCGGCACTGGGGCGTAGTAGACTGAGCCTCCGCATGCAGTGCCGGCATCCCATATGGGTGCTGGTTTGAGTCCAGGCTGCTCTTCTTCTGATCTAGCTCCCCGCTATGGCCTGGGAAAGCAGTGGAAGATGGCCCAAGTCCTTGGGCCCCAGCAACCACGTGAGAGACCTGGAAGAAGATCCTGGCTCCTGGCTTCGGATCAGGCCAGCTCTGGCCAATGTTCCTCTGGGGAGTGTAACAGTGGATGGAAGACTCTCTTTCGCAAGCACTCTCTCTCTCTCTTTCTCTGCCGCTCTGTAACTCTACCTTCAAATACATAAATCTTTTTTAAAAAATGTTCATGGAATAATTGAATTATACGTTTAGGGCAGATGTTGTGATGCAACTGGTTGCACTACTGATTACAACTGCATCCCATATGGAGAGTGCCAGTTCTAGTCCCACAAGCTTCACTCCCAATGCAGCCTTCTGCTAATGTATCTGGTGAGGCAGCAAATGATGGCCCTAGTGCTTGGCCCCTGCCGCCCACATGGGAGAACTGGAGGGAGTTCCTTGCTCCCAGTCTGCCTCACCCAGTTCTGGTTGTTGCAGGCATTTGGAGAGTAAATCAGAAGGTGGGAGTTATTTCTCTTCTCTTCTTCTCTCTCTCTCTCTCTCTCTCTCTGGTGTGTGTGTGTGTGTTGCTCTCAGTCCTCTTTCTCCTTCAAGTAGAGGAAAATAAACCTTGCTAGAAAGAGAAAAAAGAAAATAAACATTCTTTAAAATAAAGTAATTTTAGGCTGGCACTGCTGCTCACTTGGCTGATTCTCCACCTGCGGCACCGGCACCCCGGGTTCTAGTCCCAGTTGGGGTGCCGGATTCTGTCCCGATAGCTCCTCTTCCAGTCCAGCTCTCTGCTGTGGCCTGGGAAGGCAGTGGAGGATGGCCCAAGTGCTTGGGCCCTGCACCCACATGGGAGACCAGGAGGAAGCACCTGGCTCCTGGCTTTGGATCGCTGCAGCACGCCGGCCGTGGTGGCCATTTGGCGGATGAACCAACGGAAAGGAAGACCTTTCTCTCATCATACTCTCTCTCACTTTCTAGCTCTGCCTGTCAAAAAATATAGTAATTTTAGATTTTTTATTTAAGTAATACTCCTGGATTCCTGCCTCTGCCGACTACCACCATTTACCATCTTCTTCCAACTACCATCCTCTGTCACTGAGATCATCCCAAATATCCCAAGAGCCTCCAAACTTCCCCCTTTGCCTCTCTTCAGACTGTTCTCAGCACAGCACACCAAGGGGTTCTTTTAAAGCATGTAAATTACATTTCGTTCTATGTCAAAGCCATGTTAGGCTTGCCAGTGACACCTTCCATTTCCCAGTCTGGGATTCGCACTCCCCACTGGTCTATGGCTTCTCACACTTCTCCCCATCTCTTTACCTCTCCTTGAACAAACCAAGAGACACACACATCCAGACGTCTGTTTGTACTTGAAATTCCTGTCGGGAATGCTCTTCTATCAAAAATATTTATGGAGGGCCAGTGCTGTGGTATAGTAGGTAAAGCCACGGCCTGTGACTCCAGCATCCCTTATGGGTACCAGTTCAAGTCCCAGCTGCTCTACTTCCAATCCAGCTCCCTTCTAATGGCCTGGGGAAGCAGGAGAAAATGACCCAAATTCTTGGGTCCCACCACCCACCTGGGAGACCTGGAAGAATCTCCTGGCTTCTCACTTCAGCCTGGCTCAGCCCTGGCCATTGTGGACATTTGGGAAGTGACCCAGCAGATGGAAGATCAATATCTCTATCTCTTCCTCTCTCTGTGTAACTTTGCCTTTCAAATAAATAAATCATTTACAAGGAAAGAAGAAACAAACAAACAAACGTCCATGGGCTCACTTCAACCCCTTCTTCCCACTGTTAGTGTTTCTGTGATTGAGCTCCCTCCACATTCCCTGTGGTGAATGCCGTGTGCCCCTCTAATTCACATCTGGAAGTCCTAACCTCCAGGGTGCCTCTACGAGGGCACCCCAGGGCATGTGGAACATGTATGCCACCTTTTCATCCCAGTATTCCTGTGGATTTTTTGCATTTGGAGATCCTCCCTGGGTGGATGTACTTAAAGTTAAACAAGATTGTGAAGACGTGATGTATTAGGAAGAGAATCTTCATGAGGCATGGAATCAGCCAGCACCTGGTGCTTGCATTTCTGTCCTCCAGGGCTGCAAGAAAATGGATTTCTGCTGTTCAAACCACCCCATCAGTGGCAAATACCTGAGCTGACAAATACCTTCCTTATCTACTTGCTCCTTACTTTCCTCTACAGCACACATCTCCTTCTAACATGCTATCTGTCTTATTTATTTTCCATAGTCATACAGGAGTAGACCAGAATTGAAAAGAAAAAGATTGGGGCTGGTGCTATGGCACAGTGGGTTAAAGTCCTGGCCTGAAGTGCCAGCATCCCATAAGGCACTGGTCCTGGTCCCGGCTCCTCCTCTTCTGATCCAGCTTTCTGCTATGGCCTGGAAAAACAGTGGAAGATGGCCCAAGTCCTTGGGCCTCTGTATCCATGTGGGAGACCTGCAATAAGCTCCTGGCTCCTGGCTTCAGATCGGCACAGCTCTGGCTGGGCTGTTACAGCCATCTGGGGAGTGAACCAGCAGATGGAAGACCTCTCTCTGTGTCTCTACCTCTCTCTGTAACTCTTTCAAATAAATAATATCAATCTTAAAAAGAAAATAAAAAGGCTAAAAACAAACAATAACCAGCCTCAAAAAGTACAAACAGAAAACACACTACACCCGACTGCACTAGACTAGAGAATATAGCCAAGAGCACAAAATGACGAAATTTATAACAAAGGCAGAGCAGCTAAAGCTGCCGCTGCAACACCTACATTCTGTGGCAGGATGCTGCTCCAGTTCTGGCTATTCTGGTTCTGGACCAGCTCACTGATAATGCACCTGAGAAGGTGACAGAGGATGGCCCAAGCACTTGAGCCCCTGCCACCCATGTGGGAGATGGAGTTCCTGGCTTCTGGCTTTAGCTTAGCTCATCTGGGGCTGTTGCAGCCATCTGGAGGAGTGAACCTGTGGATGCAAGATACCTCTCTCTGTGTGTCTATCTCTCTCTGTCTCCATCTCTCCTGTCTCTGTGCCACTCTGCCTTTCAAATAAGTAAGTAAACCCCTTTTTTAAAACCAAAGATAAAAAAAAAAAGATCAACAAAGATGAAAGTTAGTTCTGAAAAACTTCTAGGATCGTGATTAGGGAAGAAAAACATGACCAAAAGCAAAAAATGAACATTTGAATGTAACTTCAAAGGCTAAAAAAGATGAAGAGAAATTATTTTGAACTCCAGGATCCGAACTTG